ATTCATTTCAGACAATAGTCACACACTTAGAGATACAGACAGTCAGTAGTCAGTAGTCTTCAGTCAGTAGTAGTGACTGAAGAACTGTTACATACAATGGACTCCACATATATATTGTCAGTTCATCTCTTCATTTGTCTGATCAATAAATAATTAACACAAACAACTGAACAGCACTGACAGTACAACATACTGTTCCGTACAATCATCGCCTACCAGCCCTCAAACACTAGCGATCGCTAATGGAATGGTATCCTAACGACTCGCGAATTGAAATTTAATTTCTAATACAATTGTTTGAAATTTATTCGTTAATAGGATTTAAATGAATGAAAACTTTTTGTTTTGTCAAAGTAATTATATAACTAGACATTTATATAGCGAGGTTTAATCAAATAAATGTCAGAATAGATATCATTACATATAAATGTAGGCAATATTTCTGTTGTTGAGAAGGTTCGGGGTTTATTTGATGTTTAAACCAAATAAAACCATAATATCATAGAAAATGAGTGGAAATTGTGTGCAATTTTGTCGGATGGCATCGCTAGTGATGTCTACAGTCATAGGGAGAGAGGAGGGACACGAGAGGTAAACTAAGTAACACATAAATACTCTCCTTTCCCTCTTGTCCCTTTCGTAGTGTTTAATAATTAAAGTATAGTGTTTGAACACAAAAAACGGTAGTCATAAATATTTGATATGAGATGCACTCAACTCTTATATTACTTACAATACAATAAAACTAAGATTTCATTTTGTTTTGTCTCACATATCGACTGATATTTGAGCCAAAATTCTAGTTAAGAGTCGTTTAGATATGTTTCTGTTGTGAAGTTATCAGACGTATTGGCATCTGATATATCATTAAAAACAATATACTTATTGAATACCGAATGGCATAAAAAATGCAGCATTTTGTCGACAGTATACTCGCTAATACTCTCTTAGAAATTGATTTATTGCTAAAAAATTTTGTATTTTGTATTTTGTGTGTAGTTTTTTCGTCGGGGAATAAAAAATGTCAACAAATCACTATATTTTCTCAAATGAATTGTTTGAGAGTAACGACTCAACACAACACATATACACACATTATATATTGATTGTTGAAAAAACTTGTTTTTGACACAAAATTACACAACTTTTCTCGTATTGCCATAAACTCAAGTTTTGGGATATTTTTCAATAACAAAATTTCTTAGAAAATAATATATATAAAAAATGATTGACTCAATTTGGTGACTTCAATAGATTTTCAAATTTATTTTGTTATAAAATTTACTTATTTTAATATACGTTGAATAAATATAACTTTTGTCTCATATATTATTAAGCAACACTTTTGACTTGGTTTTATTTTATGATGACTTCATTAACGACATAATTTTGATAAAAATATATAAAAATTGTCATTCGTTAATAAGTTATGAGAAACTTGTTTTCAGACTATTATGTGTTTTATTAGGAATTTACTGTTGGATTATGTTTCACGAGAATATTCTGTGAGCTGTGAAAACAGATTCGTTAGCAATGAATATAAAGTCGTGTAGGACTGTGTGCTAAATCAATATAATATAGTATGACTCCTGAGTTAATATAAGGTTAAAAGAGATAGAAAAACAAATTTTGCAGCGAATAAACAAATATTTTATTTATTACTTTATTTATTATATTACACATTAATTTAAAGGCAAGAAAATTAATTAAATATATATCGTATGAAGTTATATCGCCAATACACCAATGAATTTATGTTTGAGCTTTTATTTGGAGCCTAAACGCCATACCATAAAAATTAGGCTTATTTATCTGGAAAATAAATTATAAATATAAATGACACAAAGGACTCACAATAAAGTAATTTTAAGCAAAATTTTGTTTATTATAAATCTCGAAATTTACTTTCAATAAAACCATTTCATATAATATTCTAATACAGTATAGTTTTATAATGCTAATACACTAGACATTTAATGTCATTAATTATAATAGTAATACGAGTATACTGTTTAAGTATTAATTTTAATTAATATTTATTAGTAATTATAAAACATATCTCTTATTGAATGATAGGTAAGAAAGAGATAATCCAAGAGATAATCCATGGATTGGAACAATTGGAACATTTCTGACGAGTGGCCGTTTGACAACACCATAGCCGACAGTGATATGTCTGTGAACGACCTGTCCAGTCAGCCCCTGGCCCAGTACTCGTACGCCCAGCCCCAGTGTTCATACACCCACTGTAATAACCCGACCTCATCGATGAACAACACGGTGTCGTGGAATGGGGTCTTACGACTGGTCCTATTCTCGCTGGTGTCCACATTGGGCTCAATGGGCGGTATATTTGTGATATCGGCCATCACTGTCATCGACACATTCCAAGTGCGGGGCAATTGTTTCTTAGTGTGTCTGGCGTTTGGACACCTCTTGGTCACCATACTGGTGGTGCCCGCCTCTGCTGTGGCCATTATGGCCGGTGTGCCCGACGACCCCAGTATATGTCACTTCCAATGGCTCACAACACTGGCCTGTCTTATAGTGTCCGTCCTTTCATTCATGTTTATGGCGATCGACAACTACTTCGGCTTCGGCTCATTAGTCACATACGACTTGTGTTGCACTAAATGTCGCATTGTTTTCATAATACTCATGATATGGTCGGTGGCCATCGTTTTCCCTATCGTTCAACACGTCTACAACTTTGGCCCCGAGTTTTGCCCCGACAGACGCAAACTCACCATTTGGTTAGACTTCCATCCCTACGTTCTCGGTATGAACCACACACCCAAACACCTACTCTTCCCATATATCCATACTTTGATCCCATTACCATGATTACATTATTAATAAGTGCAGGTATATGTAATTCAGTAATACATTGCTGTCGTAAATTATAATTTTTCATTTATTTAAAAGAGTTATATTTCTCAATAAAAAGCAAACTTCTCTCTCGAGATAACCTTTCAAAATAGTGTAGCGCTTCATATCAAAGAGAATTTCTGTTTTAATTATTATAAAACATTATTATTTGTGTTTCAATTCAGGCATTGTATATATCATACACTCAATTCATTCAAGAATAATTATGATTGCAAATCCACTTACACTGAACATAACTCACTTTATTAGTTATACTATACTATATTAATTCATTTAATAAGAATTTATAAGTTAGTTGATTTTAGAAATATATTATACTGTACTTGGTGCACGCTTAAAATAAATGACAACTCAATTGATCTAAAGTGATATTGTTAGAAAATAATTAGAAAATAAAAACAAAAATGTGCTGTTATTTAATAAAATAAATTTTTTTTATTAATTATAGTAATTCTTATATAGTAATGATTTATTGGAAAATTGATTTATTGATTCGCGATAATTTTCACACACAATAGGCACTGTAATACTGTTCACTCTGATAACCATTTGGTATTTCACGCGTTCATTATTCCAATACAAGAACTATAAGATGCAAATTGAATCCTCTGGTGATCCGACGGCTGCATTCATCCTCACTGACGGCTATTTATTACAATCCAATTGTATCGTATATCTCATATCAGTGGCTATGTGGACGCCTTTGGTGGGTATCCCATCCCATTTCATAACTATATTCGTATTAATATACATTTTATTTATTCCATTGGATATATGCTATTTTTATAACATCTATTTTTACCGGTTTTATATCTCATACAATCAATGCATTATTTCAATGTATTTATTATTTTATTATTTGGTTTTAGTTTTTTATCGGCCAACCAATCAATTGCAAACCAATAATCACTGTTTAGTGTGCAGTATATTAAATGTTATGTCTTTTTAGTACCAAAACGGCTACTATTTTCGCAATCAATTAACTCTATGAATGACAGAAAGCATTGTATTTCTTGCCATTCGCTCATTAGCTGTCAAATAAATAATTGAATTTCAATTATCTCTGAGCTCTCGTTTAATTGTATGCCATTTTGGGGGTAGTCTTAGGAAATTAAATTAAATACTTTCCAACAGTTGTGACAAATCAGTCCTTAAAATAGTCGACTTTTCTGATCCACTCCTAAATACACTGAGACTGTGTTTTGCAAAAAACGTCTAATGAAATAAGACCTTAAGATTTAGGTTCACTATAATCAGACAACTATTTCAATGGTATTTAGTTTGGCTATTTTTAGATAAATCCAATCGATTTGTCTTTTCAATGGCTTTGATTGGGCTTCAAATTAGATAAGCATTCGTGTATCACATAATAGGATTTTGTGAGGGAGGGGAGGGGGCCTACACAGAAAACTCAGATTCTTGTCAATAAGAATTGTAGGTTTATTTACTTGCAGTTAATAACACTTCAAAACGACATATTTTGTTAATTAAAAATAGTTTTAACATTTTCAACAGATTCTGAACTCCTTTGCAATTATCGAAATTCATATAATAGAAAAAAGGACTCAAAATATTTTTTTGACATTCATAACAAAATGATTGAATCTATATTGAAACACACGTAACAAATATGATTATATATATTGAACGGACAGATAGTAGCGATGATAGTGGACCCGATAAACCGCGTGCCGCAGGACTACCTGGACACAATGTGGTGGATAGCATTGGCCAATTCGTGTACATTTTCCTACCTCTACGCGGCCACAAACCGCGAGTTCCGGGAGGCGTTCAACAAACTGTTTTACTACTGTTGCTGCAAATCCCACGTGACGTTCGCCCGCAAAGGGGCGGCGATGCGACGGGGGTTGGCCGCCGACTCCATCGGACTGCGCGTCCATATAATACCCGGACTCAATATCTACGCTCAACGCAAAGACAACGCCACCTGCACCACATCCTACCGGACCGGATGCACAGGTATGGGCTCCAGTGTGAGCAGTGGTGGCTCGTCATACCATCACAGCGGAGGGTTTGGCGGCGGGTTCGGCGGCTTCTCCAGAGCTTTCCAGACAAAGTCCAGTGATTTATAAATACATTCAATTAGAGTCACCTTTTCTATGATAACATATATATATATTATAAGTATTTAGACAGGTACATCTAATTTATAGATTAGTTTTTATTTAAAACAATTTGTATAAAAATCAAATGAATTCCACTTATGATATGATAGTTATATATAGAGTAAAATAAAGTATAACAATATTTCTATTATCTAAAGACTATACTAAACACAATGAAGTGCCAAATATTTGAGTGAAAGTCACGGCAAACGATATACTGTACTGTACTGTATCTGATGGCAAAAAACACAAGTTTGTGATATGAAATTAATAATTTGTGATGCTTTCCCTGTTCTCCCTTTCCTCTCATAAATACACAATGAATCAAATGGAGAGCACAGGGAGGAGAGAGGGATACTGGCCCCTGGGATACTGGATACTGGGGATACTGGATACTGGATGGGAGGGATACTGGGAGAGAGGGTAGCCATCACTAGCGATGCCATCCGACAAAATTGCACACAATTTCCACTCATTCTCTACGATATTATGGTTTTATTTGGTTTAAACATAAAATAAAACCCCAAACCTTTGAGACAACAGAAATATTGTCTACATTTATATGTAATGATATCTATTCTGACATTTATTTGATTAAACCTCGCTATATAAATGTCTAGTTATATAATTACTTTGACAAAACAAAAAGTTTTCATTCATTGAAATCGTATTAACGAATAAATTTCAAACAATTGTATTAGAAATTAAATTTCAATTCGCGAGTCGTTAGGATACCATTCCATTAGCGATCGCTAGTGTTTGAGGGCTGGTAGGCGATGATTGTATGGAACAGTATGTTGTACTGTCTGTGCTGTTCAGTTCAACAAACACAATTAATAAATAACTAGTCTGTTTACTTCTCTACTTGACTGTTATATATACACCTCAGGTAACATACATTGTCAAGAAGTCAGTGATGATGACTGACTTCTGATGACTGATGACTGAGTCTGTATCTCTAAGTGTGTGACTATTGTCTGAAATGAATATAAAGGTCTCAATGGTATTGATTCCGTTCAATGCTATGATTGCAGTCCTTATTCTCGCGATGTATTCATTGGACACAAATGTATTTCTTTGTTCAATCAAACACTGAATAAATAGATAAGAATTGAAGAGAAATAAAATAATAAAACCCAAAAATCAAAGTGTGTTTCGCATAGCTTTTTGTACACGTAATGTAGTTTTTCGGACAATTGCCAAATACAACACAAACTTATATCTTATATTCGGAGTCAATGTTTGCTTTTATTTTATGGCAACACACCTTCACTCATAAATGTTTGTATGTTTGCGAGTATTGATGAGAGAGAGAGAGAGAGAGAGAGAGAGAGATCAGGAAAAATCTTTTTTAATGAAAGTCAGAATAGAAAGAATCGATGAAAATATATGAGAGATAAACAAAAAGACAGTCAAAATAGTAGTGATATTACGACCAAAAGACGAGACATAAGACATAAGAATATGAGTTTGTGATGGAAAGCAGTGAAACTGATTTAGCGATCATTAATCTCGATGTTTGCACACATTCTCAGACATAACACTCGAATCGATTCGTGAAATGAGAGGAAAAGAGTAATAAATTATTTTTTAAAACTTATACCAAACGATGGCTTGAATTCATAAATAATTTCCCATTTCTTTGAATCAATAAAATATTAGGCAATGAGTTGTGTTTTAATCCAAACATACAGTACTTCGCGCATTGAATTGTAATAAAAATTTTGATTCAATAAAAATCACTAAATTCTCACATAATATGACAGAAAACTGGTGATAAAAATGTTAAATTTATTTAAAATCTTGTCAAACCTAACAGACTTACAATTGATGTGGAATTTATGGGTCAATAGAGTGATGAAGTGGTGGTTGTGTTGGATGTCTGTCCAACACAGACAACAACATCATTCACCATATAATACATAACTGTTAGACAATTTGGTTAAGTATTGCTTTATAAGTGAAAACTTAGAGCACTTGTACTCATAAACAGCGCATCCATTGCTACTCACATCCCACTCACACCTTCTCTCTAAGGATTTCATTATTTAATCTCTTTTTGAATTTTTTATATTAAAATAACAATCTTAATGATTAACACAATCTTATGGCATATATACTGTACAAGAATTCCATTATACACTATATATGATATAATTTTCTATTTAATTTGGTTGCAATTTTTGTAGTAAAGAATTTTGATTTATTTATATATTTTTATAATCTCTTACATAATAAAATAACAAAATTTAATAGATTTTGTGTAAATTTCTAAAATTCTTAAATGTTATGTCAATTAATGGATTCTTATGTGCTATTTATGGCCGAAATTAATCAATTACTAGAGATTTCTTTTGTCATTCTTGACATTCATTATAATAATAAATATGAGTCGTTTAAATAAAAATCAATGAACACTATTATGACTATTATTTGTAAAATCAATTTTCATTAATAACTGAGATCAAGTGAAGAGTTATCGACAAAATGGGATAATTATAGCAAAACTGATGTGAGAAACAACGCCTCAACTCGAGTTGTATTGAACTTATAAAACTGATTGTAAGCTTTAGATACAGTATAATACTGTATTATTAATATACATTTGTCTTTCAAAATAAGTAAAAAGTGAACAAATACAATGAATATATTATATTATTAAGATACTTAAAGGTTATTTTTAATAATAGATATTTATTAATATTATATAATATCTATAATTATGATATTGATTTGTTATTAATAATTTATTTGTTCGCATATTGTATGGATCAATAAATCGGAAAATGCCACTATTGTACCCAAATCAATCCCAAGTTTTTATCCAATAAAATAAAAAGGCTTTAAAATAATGGATTTGCTTTTACGGTACTAAATATGAGTTGTATTCACAAAAGAAAATTAATTTTACTTCACTTCAGGTGAATATAAATTCTTCTGAGAAATGGTTTAAAACTATATTCTCTGCAAAATATTTAAATTGCATTTTTAGAGTGTAAAACAAAATGAAATCACGTCTTTAGACTAAATAAACTTATTTTTAACTCACATCTACTGCTGATATTATTTCTCTTAATTGTAAGCCTTTAAAGACGTATTCGATATCATATCTCATATAACAATCAAATATCCGTAAAGTTGTCGCTAAGATTCATAATATTAAAGACATATTTTTCACCCACTCTTTCATATTCATACCGTTCACTCATTCTCTCTCTCTCTCTCTCTCTCTCTTTCTTTCTCTCTTTCATTGAGCCATCAATTGTAATATTATTCTAATGATTACACAAATTAAATAAAAGAGTAAATTTTACTTTTATAAGAAATGAATATACTTTGAGATATAACTGCATTAATGTTAGTATAATTAGAGAGACATCAAGAATCTGAGATTTTATTGCAAAACTCCATTATACTCGAGTCTATTCTATAATTGCAAACTCAATGCACGGAGTGGTATACAGTATTTGTGAATTTGAGATACATATAATTCTTATAATAGTTACTTACAATATAATCTCAAATGGGATTAGTGTTGAGTTCTCGTAATTCCGAGTCTATTAGTGATTTGGTTCACAACATGCAACTCCATACACATGGAGACCAGACAGACATGTCATTGAATTTTTGCCGAAAATATTTTATTCATATAGAAAAGCTCTACCATTTGTCTGATTATCATTAAAAATATATTTAAAACAACATTTGCTTTTTCCTACTTTTATTTAATGATTTTATTTGCCATTTAATCTGAAATTTGTCTCTTTTTGATTACAGAAGAAATAAATAAAAGATTCAATTCACGAGAAATGAATCAAAAATACAAGTGATTTGAATCGTAAGAAGTCTCTAATCGTTATAATATTCTTACATTATTTTTATTCTCGAGTCAAATGTTTTACTCAAATATCGAAAACACAATTATATAATATTATTAGTTTGAAAACATTCAAAGAAGTTTTATATTAGTATAAATTTTGAATAATTCTTAATGTTTATAAAAATCAATTGTTATTAAGTTATTATTATATAAAATAATAGCGTAATAAAGTCAATGGTTTCTTAGCTAATATTATGCTAGAATATAAATAATATTAATAGTATTCATATATTATTTTTAATATAAATGTAGAAAATACTCATAATTATTGTTCTAATTGGCTCACATTTAATATAAAATTGGTACAATTAAATACTATTAACCCTAGATAAATAAAAGACCTGTATAAAATATAAGTATAAGTCCAAAGAATACATTGTAAATAAATAAATGATACTGTACTTCATTGTTTATATATATTTGGTTTTATAGGAATCAATAAAACAAAAGTAAAGATAAGACTAAACTAATGTATTTGTTATTCTAAATAATTCTACTTTTTGGTAGAAATACTTTCTTTTTTAAAAACAACAGATAAACTATTTTCGTATTGTTTTATGTTTCGGTTAAACATAACTGATTGGTATTCAAGAAACAATATTAAGAAAACAATAGAAAACTTTTTAAAATTGTATGAATTCATTGAAAATATATCACAAATTCTCGACTGTTTATCAAAATCTTAAATAATTCAACAGTAGTTGCCATGATAAATTATGGTATATAGTATGCATGATAAATATACTTTTATATAATAACTTGCATCAAATGGTTAACAATAGATACAGGGCAAAGAGTGTATTATCATAAAAAGCGATTGAGTACTACTTGAATCAATAGTAATCGTTGGCCAGTTAGCTCAGTGCTGCCGAAATGACTCATTTATTGTGCCATACGATTATTTATCGCAATATATGGCACGACATTTGACAATAAAGCTTTTTATTTTTCCAAATACTAATATATGGACTAGTTTTTCGCTTACTTTCTAGTTTAGGTGATCTATTGAAGTGGATTTTCATATATAGATATTACAAGAGATCCAGAGATCATAGAATGATATGAAAACAAATATTAATTTAATTCA